TGCTCCTGTTCTGCCGTCCTCCAGCGCGCACCGGCCCCAATAATCGATTCGAGCCCGTGCTGGACCCGGCGCCGGACCTCCCCGACGGCTTCTGGGAGCGTCTTCCTCTGCTTCGCCGGCTCTGGGCTCGACTCTATCGTCTCCTCCCTACCTGGGAGTTCGGCCTCCGTAGACTCTCGCTTCCGCTTCCTCGTCCGCTTCTGCGCCTGGTCCGGCGACTTGCCCTTACCCTGGCTATCCCAGCTCAGATACTGGTGCCAGAGCCGGCTGATCTCGCGGTAGTTGGCGATCATCTGCGGCTGTAGCTGCCCTGGGAACTGGATGTTGATCGCGTAGTGCGATCGTGCCATGGCACTGCTGTGTGTCGCCTGCAGATCCCAGATTACCTCCGTCCGGTCCCTCGGTCGTAGCTCGCCAGTAGCCTCGTCGAATTCCTCATCCTCGGGCCCGTATCCGTCATCGGCCGCGCCGACCTCGAGCTCCTTCTGCTGTACGATAAGCCCCTGAATCGTACGGCCTAGCTCGATCGCGAGATGGCGGTACGTCGAAGTACCTAGCTCGACGCCGAGATAGCCCGCCGTAGCTGCCCTAAGCTCCTTCGTAAGCACGTCCGTTCCCCAGCGGCCTTTCCGGCCGTCCTTCCATAGCCAGTGCCGCAGCGATTCCGACGGTTTTCGAGCCCGCGTCGCATCGAGAAGCATCTCCTCGAACGGGACTAGCCAGACGAGATAGACGACAAGTAGCTGCCCGACCCGTTCCGGGAGAAAGCGTGCGACCTTTCGGCCGTAGCCCCGGATCGACTTGGCCTTATCTCGGTCCGTTACGAGCATTACCTGCCCGTCGAAGATCTAGACGCTCCGGCTTAGCTGCTTCGTATCTAGATACCGCACGCTCGTGATCTCGGGCCCTCGGCCTGGCTGGCCTCCCCAGACGTGCGTTAGTACGAGTAGCTGGCTCTTTAGCGTTCCGATCTGGTTTAGCCACTTCTGCGACCGCTCCCGGTGGTACTGCTGCCGCTGGGACGACCAGAGCCTCTCCGAAACGAGCTCGGCAACGACGCGGGGCCCGGCTTGAAGCCAGCTGTTCTGCGGGTTTGAGATGAACGATTTCCCACCCCCTTCGTACATTACGCTGTCGTTGATTTTGCTAAGCTCGATCCGTCCTAGTAGTACCGCCGACTGGCCGTACAGAAGCCCGTCGAGCGCCGATTCGGCTGTTGAGACGAGCCCCTGGGCCATCCGCCGGAAGTTCTGGACCTCGATCCGGAAGCCGTGTAGCCGGAGCGCCTGCTTCCCGTCCTCCCAGATAATCCGTGCTGCCCCCCCTTCCTTCTGGCGGTAGCCCTTTCCGATCGTTAAGAACCGGGTTAGCGTACTGAACGGGCTGTACGAGCCGTCTGCGATCCACTGCCGATAGCCGTCCATAAATGCGTCGATATCCCTAGCCTGGAGCTGGCTACGCCCTTCGTCCTCCCCTTCGCCGGAGTCCGTAGTACTATCCTCTTCCTGGATCGGGACGTGCTCGAAGAAGTACTCTAGTAGTAGTACGCGGCTACACCACGCTAGACCCGCTAGTAGTGTTGTAAACTCGGCCGGCGGCCGAAATCGTGCTCGGACGGGGTCGATCGCGAGTACGGTAGTGAAGTGTAGTAGCGGGTTTACGTACGGTTGTACTAGTACCCGCTGCGTAAGCGACAGAACACAGAACGTGAAGACGGCCTCGTCTAGATATCCGTCGTCGCCGTCGCCCTCGCGATTCTCCTCCTCCTCGCCGCCGCCCCCTACCCGGGAGCTCTCCTCCTCCGTACTATCGAGAGCCTCTATAATAGCCTCGAGAGCGGCCCACTGCTGGTCGGTAAACTGGACCTGGTGCTTCCTCCTCGCCTCCGTACGGCCGAGCCGGAAGACCCGGACGCAGTAGCAGAGATAGCGCCGCCAGTAGCTCCGGTACTTCTCCATCGTATGCGCCTCCTGCTTAACGCGGAACGGCCGCGGCGACGGCCGGTTCGGGTCGCGGCTTGCTAGCCAGCAGAGCGTCTCCACGGGTACCTGGCCGATCCGCCGGCTACACCGCTCGATTACCCGGTTGAAGCTCTGGCCCAGCCGTACGAGCGTCGCCTCCGAAGCCTCCCTCTCTTTCCGGACGGACCAGCTTAGTTTAGCTAGCTCCTTCGTCGATAGACCTGGCTCGGCGGCGCGCCGTAGTTCCGCCATATCCTTGCCGGCCAGATGCGCCGCCCAGCCCATCTGGCTCACCCACGGCGACTCATAGTCGACGCCGGCCTCGTAGTCGATAATCCGGCCCCGCTCCGCCTCTTCGGCGGCCGCTTTAGCCTCGTACGCCGCCATGTGGGCCTCCCAGACTTGACCTCCGCCGCCGCTGTCCGGCCCCGCTGCCGCCTCTGGGGTCGCCTGCCGCCCTACCGCTAGCGCTTCTACAATCCAGTACCGCGTACGGCGCCTCGCTGACGAGAACGACTGTAGCTGTACCTCGTTCCAGCGCGCGTAGCCCGTACCTAGCGAGCCTTCGCAGTGGCTAGTATCGCCGTCGGCTGCTTCCCTCGCCTGGTGCTTCTGGACCTCGTCCCGGCTCCTCGTTACGAATCGGCACACCCTACAGCGGAATCCGGAGTGGACCTGGAGCTGCGGGATAGCTGGACTACCGTCTGCCGGTACCTCTGCTTCGTGCGGCTCTACGAGCCCTCCACGGCCCTCTACTGCTGCTGCTGCTACTGCTGCCGCCGATTTGACTGCCCGTAGCTGGCCGCCCTTAAGCTGGTGCCTCTGTCGGTAGTGGGCAACTACACCACCTACGGCCGCTGCGATTCCTGCCCTACATAGTGTGCAGACTAGTACGCGGCTTGCCCGATATAGATAGAGCTCTGGTGTTACTGCTGGCTCGGTCGTTGCTGTAGCTCTCGCGTCCTCCTGCTGCTGCTGCTGCCGCTGCTGCGCGGCGCTGCCGTAATCGCTCTCGTAGTCGTCTCCCTGGCTGCTGCGGTCCATCGTGGAGTACTACCTGTCGTATGCGATTCTCTTCTCGGTACTACTTCTGATCTTCGACTCTTGCGTATATTCTTGGGAAGAGACCCTAAGCTAGTATTATAGTTCAATCGAAATGCGCGCGCGCGTCCGTTTCATTCTCCTCCTCCCTCTATCTCCTCTTACGCGCGTCCCCTCTCCCCTTTAGACTCCCCGGGCTCGCGCTGTTACGCGTACGCGCTTATCTCCTTTTTATTACCTATTACTTACCTTGTCCCCCTTTTCGCAGCAGTGCCTAGCCGTACACGCGTAGCTGAGCTGGGGGGGTTAAGGTTCGGACCCCTACTAGTTAGGGTTGGGTTAGCTAGGGGTTAGCACATTTACGCTGGCCGGAATGAACTCAGGGTACCGGAATGAACTTAATAGCCCGTACCCTTCCGGGCCGGGAATGACCTACCTCCGCCGCCGAACTACTACCGCCGCTAAACTACTATACCTCTGCCGAACTACTACCGCCGCCGAACTGCTACCGCCGCCGCCGCCGACCTACCTGCCGACCTCTGCCAGCCTGCCACGGCCAGACCCTATATATCCAAATAAGCAGCCAGTCTCTTAAGAACAAACAGGCCCGGTGGTCAAGCGGTAAGACGTCGCTAGCAATTGCTAAGCGGAATCCCTGGTTCAACTCCGGGCCGGATTACTGCGCCTACTTGAGAATCTCTTCGTCTCGTAGAGATTCTCAAGTGGGTAGCTCTTTTTGCCGGCACCCCTTCCTCCGCTTCGGAGGTATTTTCGCTATGTTAACTACCTGCCGACCTGCTACCGGCTCCGACGAACTGCCACTACTCCGCCGACCTGCTACCGCTGCCGCCGTACTACCTGCTGACCTGCCTGCCGGCCTGCCTGCCGACCAGCCTGCCGACCTGCCTGCCGACCTGCCTGCCTGCCTGAGCCTTATATATCCAAATAAGCGACTGACTATTCAACAAACAGCCAGAGAGCCTCGCTGGTCTAGCGGTCATGACGTCACTGCTATATAGCTCTCCATTCCCACGTCGGCCGCAGGAATAAGGGTCCCTGACCTGAGCTTGTGGAGCCATCCGACCCGGACGCTCGAGCTAGTCACAGTTGAAGAGCTAGGTTCGACTCCTAGGCGTGGCATTTTTTTGGCCCTCCTCTCTCTGCCTCTCTCTTTTGCGCGCGCCTCCTGCCTGCCTGCTTGCTCTGGCAGTCTGACGCGCCTCCCTCGTCGTCGTGCGGCCTGTGCATGTACGCATATGAGGGCGCCACTGGGCCCCACAGGTTCGGACCCCTGCTAGTTGGGGTTGGGCTTGGGGTTGGGTTAGCTGTGGGTTAGCCCATTTTTCGCTGGCCGGAATGAACTCAATCTGGGGTTAGTTGGGGTACCGGAATGGGCTCAATGGCCCGTGCCCCCGGCCCCCTGTCCCACCAGGAATCGCCGAAAGTGAGGCCAACCCGGCCGGGAATGATGGTCAGGGAACTTGACTGCGCCGGCCCGTGCCACCCCTGCATGGCCCCAGCTCCCCACCGGGAACTTGACTGGCGCAGTCAAGTTCCCGCCGGAATGATGGTCAGGGCGCCTCTCTCGCCACCACGAACCTCTGCATCGACACGACCTACGTGATGCCCGCCGAAGCAACCTCTGTCCTCCCGCCACTGTTCATGGACTCGGTGTTGAACACAGTGACATCGCGATCGTCTGCCGACAAGCTCGCAACCCAGATCCATGCAGAAGTATATGAGGATGTCAAGACAGTACAGCAGTAAGGGGGTCCAGCGAGACAAAGGAATACGTAGGCATTGTGAGAAATCTCACGATTTTTCAATAGACATTACTACACGCGAGATGTCGCGCCTCCCAAGCTTCACTCCATTCCTCATATTATCAATTTACCCCGAGTTTCACCATCCCAGCCACTTACCTCCTGCTCATCGCTGCGAGTGAATTGATCTTTTTTTCACCAGAGGTGGAAAGAAAAGGCACCCTTTTTTTCATGCCTACTGCTTCTGCACTGCGTCCTGCGGCAATGGGCCCTGTTGATAGTAGGGCGCCGCATGCGTAATATACGGTGCTGGGCTCCCCTGCGGAACGGGAGTACTGACTGCACGCGAGTACACCTCTTGCGGCGGCGGCGACTGCTGCGGTTGCTGCTGCCACTGCATCGGCATGGCCCCAGGCATCTGCTGCTGTTGCTGCTGCATGTACATATTGGCGGGCATCTGCTGGTACTGCGGCACGGGCATCTGCTGCTGCTGCATCGGTATGGTCGTGGCGAACTGTCCCTGTTGCTTGCCCTGGAAGGGTCCAGCAGCAGCAGCAGCTGCGGCTTGGTTCGGGGGGGCAGGATAGACGCTGCCTGCTTGATAGCCTGGGGGAGCGACGGACGCGGAGGGGGCTACTACAGGCATTGTCTGGGCCGCCGTGCAGTGGCCTCCTGCGGCACGATGACGGTGGAGCGCGGCGCTGTGAAATCCGAGCGACACACAGACGAGAACGCTGCGCAACGCAGGGCGAACGAGGACAAACATTAGCCCACACACACGCGCCAAAGTTTCCAAAGCTCCGTCTTGGATGTGCTGGCTGCTAGTCCACGTTTCCAAGCGAGAGGAGAGGACTTACAAGGAGATAGCACCAAACCCAGCTGCGATGCAGCCAGAATAATAAAGAGTCAGGCCGTAGCTGGAAAGACTATAGGCCGCAGTTCCGAAATATGCCACGGGGACTGCCACCAGGGCGAAGGATATGAGCCAGAACACAACAAGGAAGATGTCCAGCGCGAGATAAGCCCAGTAGTTGTAGGCGGCGGGCAAGGCATATTCCGCCACTATGTAGTACACGACGCAGATGATTGTCGCGATGCCCTGGGAGAGTCGACGTCACTATGTTAGCCATCTCTCGTGTCCTGGTCATCGTCTGCGGTACAGCAAAAACGTGGTGGACTACAGCTCGGCTTGTCGGGACCATCCAACGTACACTGAAGAGGCTCAGGCCAAAGCCGGCTAGTGCGGGACTCGCCGCCAATGCACCGATCACATACCCAGCAGTACCAAGCACCACGATGGCAGCTACCAGCTGTATGACCCGCACGGCAAGGAAGCCACGCGGGTAGATGAGAACATGCTCTTGCCCGGCTGGCCGCGGGATTGGCCGTGGTGCCTCTGCCTGCGGTATTGGCATTGCGTTTGGTGCGCTGTTCATGATGTGGGGGATCGTCCGACAGGAGCTGGTGGTTTTGGGATATGATAGTAGTATTTGTGTGCTTCGATAGCGCTACTACATTGTGAGAATTGTCATATATATAACTCCAATCGACGCTCGAGTACGAAAGACCCAGCCTACATATAAGAAGCCCGGCCGAGTCAGGCAGGGGCATACAGTCGTGTATGATTGAAAATGCCTTGTAACCAGCAAACTCTTGCCTTTTGGTTCTCCTCATGAATGCATGTGGCTGCGCCGGGCTGCAGCCGAAAGTATGCAAAACCCGAAAGCTTGGGTTGGAGCTTGAGCACCAGGTTGTCGGGTCTGACTTGGGGATGTGTGGTTGCACGCAAGGGTTGATTGGTTTATCCGCGAGACATACCCGTGGGCAGAGTGTGCTAGCATGCTTTCCAACTGTCAACTTTGCGTGTAAGGCGCGGCTCTAGAACATATAAGCTTTTCTACTATGGATGTGGCGGGTTCCGCTCAATTAGAGTAGCAGGACTTTGGTCTGGCGCCTGCGGCTGAGAAGTCTACTGGCTCCGCTGATACCCCACGGATGCAAATCATCGGCATGGGGTAAACCTGGCGTTGGTAGAGGCAGCGAATGCATACCACAGTACTCGCGTGACTTACGGGACGCGTCAGCCGACTGGCAAGCTCCTGCGCTTCGCACGACGCTCCTGTCGGTAGAAGGCTTGGACCCTGCTGGGCGCACTTGAGAAATCGGAAAGGAGCGGATTTGTGGAATTTGGAGTTACCGCAGATAGGCCGGGCAAGATATCAGTGTTGGTTCTCATCTGTGTACTGGCGCGCTTCATTAACCCATTCAGCTTGAGCGGCGTGCGAAATGTGGTTCACTTGGGCTCACTTGGATTGGCTGATACATTACGTCAATTTTAGTATCGCATATATGTTCCCGTCCACGATGTTTGCCGTACAAGAATGTAGTAGTGCTCTGGAAATGTAAATAAATATACTCAAAAATACCCTGGCGGTGGCACATCCTTCGTAGCTGGCCGTCTCGCATCCCCTCCTGCCGGCCTTACCGACCGGCCTGGCTCGGGAGGCAGACTCGCATAGCTCCGTAATACGCCACTGCCGTCCTGATATTCATTTGTGTAAGGCTTGTCGTACGCATACTCGCTATGCTTCACTGAGCCCCCATCCTTCTCAAAATTTCCGTACGCTGATCTCCCAGGCCCCTCGCTCATCCAGTCCCTCGTCGCTGGCTGGTCTGCACCAGCGCCGTACCCATTCAGAGGTGGGCCTTTGGGGCCTAGTAGCGGTTGCGCTCTTTCGAAGGCATCTGAGATTTCCCGATCGTGGAACCGACTATCGTATACCATCTTGGGCCCAGTTATAGAGGGCTTTTCTATCCTAAGTCCCGTGGCGTCGGCAGCGTTCCGCCTTGACCGGATCAGGAGGATCATCATAACAATAATTACCAGCACCAGTGCCGCGCCGCCGACAGCGATGCCCGCGGCCACGCCAGGCGATATCCTTAGACCAGCATTGCTCGAGCTACCGGATCCCTGATTAGCTCCATTACCACCGCCTCCAGCTACATTTGTCAGCGCCGGTAGCTCGCCGAGCAAGTCCGTCTGCTCTAAAGGGGATATAATAGCTAGTAATGAAGCCGAGTCGGAAGAGCGATATATAAGCTGGAACAGGGGAGCTTAAAGGGTGTATGCCGTAACCGTGGCGAGAACGGGTTGTTGTTAAGCAGCTGTAATAGTAGCGAGGAAAGGGATTATCTTTGGGCTAAAGGTAACGTCGGCGAGGTTCTGGTTACATATACCTATGGTCACTATAGCGGTGTTAGATGCTATGGACTAGCAGGTCTATGCCCCGATGCTATTATAGGCGCACATATACCCCCTGGTTCGCGTCCATTGTTAGTCCTTCTAAAATCTCGAATAACTTTCTCCGGCCCGGACCCGTACGTGGGAAGACCCTCTAACCTTGGATAACAACCGACAGCCGTCTCTTAAGCTGCCAATGGAAATTGAAAGTCGAATCCATCCTCGAGAGTGTCGCCTAGTTTTTGCATACAGGCAGGCGCATAGCCGGTCGGGCACGCCAGTCCCGGCGAGTAGAAACCCCATCCGTTGAGGGGGATCGAGGTTGGCGGTGCGTTGTTCGCACGCGGCGGCCAGCAGTCGCTGTTGTCTGTCCTCTACGCGTCCCGCCCATAAAACTGTGCTTGCTTTGCGCCGTTGCATAAGTCGCACTCTGCTATGAGTAGGGAGCAGTCCGGACCTGGTGCATATGTGGTTGTGAGTGGACCCAGGTTGCGCCGTGTTGCCATTATGGTGCCTTTAAATGTTTTTGGCTGCGAGTCTAGCGTCAACACTTTGCTCGGTCGAGATTAAGAGAACGCGCTCAAGTAAAGTGCCTGCAGCGAGGGGGTTCCGCACTTATCGTTGACTGCGACTCGGGGCACTCTGGGTTTGGACAGTCTCATTCCCGGTCGTGCATCGTTTGCCAAGGTGTTTCCCATTTTGCAGGGGCTGAAACGTGGCGTACAGGATTGTGACACTTATCAGAACGTGTGTGGAGGGACTGCTGCCTCCAAAAACAGTCCTTCATGGGTTCATGGGGGGCGGCCATGCAGGGGTTACCCAACGGTACGACTCGTTGTGTGGGGAGGGTGGCATTTCGTCCAAGAGGGTCCGAGCCCTGAAACGAAATCGGCGGCTTTCTATGTATATCGGATGCCTGGGTGTTTCCAGATACGCTAGGCCAATTGAAAGTTCTTCATCGCACATGGTTTCGTGGTATTCCGTAGTATCCCGCCGCTAAGGTCAGAGTCTGACAAGCAGGTCGCCCTCTAGCCTTACCTACACTCCACTCCCCTTGCCCTTTTACGGCCTAGATTGCAAGGCTATCACGCCATTCTCGAGGACGAGTCGAATGAATTCCGATTCCATGCCCGCATACGCTAGTGGACCTGGACTAAACGGATGCGATTTCTTCTTGATCTGATAGGGCTCTCTGCGACACACACCATCTAGCGACATTGAGCAGATTAACCTATATCCTTCGCTAAGAGACATAAGGACGTCGCTTGTCATTCGGTGTGACTAAGACGGCCAAACTACGTGGAAGCATGCGGGGTTATCAGTGAGGCAAAGTGGGAGTACTCTACCATTAACTCCTCCGCTTATGATTCACCACAGCTGGACGATAGCTACTAAAGTAGGCTATAGCAGAGCAATATTCATGCCAGCCTCCGTTAGTGCTTATCGCGCCTCGGCGTAGAGTGATCATCTTACTGAAGAGGAACCATATAGACCCTCGCTACCTAGCAGGTCCCCGGTGAAGGAATCCTTTAATTCTTAGTCTACTCGTTAACTAAAGCGCCAACAGAGCAATCTATAAAAGGAAGGTAGCGGGCTTAAGTCGAAGTTTAGACGCCGCCGCGACAATCCATGCTCAACGACTTCTGGCTCATTACCTACGCGCACTTCCATAGCAGGGTTTCTCCGACTTAGCCCAGCATAGCAAATCAGTCGCAAGATGCGCCCCGGCAACGACCAAGATGCCCCTCCCCAGCCCTCGTATGCGTTCCTCGCGCGCCTGCCTATCGAAATCCGCTTCCAGATCTACAACATCTATATGCTTGCCCACTTACCTAACGCCCCGCGCACGGTTACCTAGAACGGACGCTGGGGCGACGTTGACGAAGCCGCCTCTTCCGAGGAGCAGCTAATTATGTTCGAGAGTATAACGTAACAAAGTCCGCCGCTCATACGCACCTATAGGCAGATTACATAGGAGCTTAAAGCCGTCTCGTCGAGCCACTTACGCTTCGTCATCGGCAGCAGCTCCACTATCAATGCGACTCTACCGCGGGAGGCGACCTTATCACTACTAAAGCGCAGCCTAGCTATATAGCATACGACGGCGCCGTTAAAGAACCTATAGATTGAATAGCGGCTAAATCCGATAGTGGTCCTACCTGAGCGCTCGCTACTAGTTAAGAAGCGTAACATATAGGACTACCTCGCGTAAATCCGTACGCTCTTTCGTAAGACCGGTAACGGTAACGATGTAGACGATAGCTATGGGACGAAGGACGACCGGCCGTCTCTAGCGGCCTGTGACGACCCGACCAACAGGGGAACTGCTTGGGGCTGAGGTAACAAACAAGCCCAGCACAAACAAGGCCGCAGGATCAGGCCAGGGACAAGGGCGGACCAGCGAAAGGCTGGCGGGGAACACATTATGTAAGCACCCACCTTACGTCAGCAGCCGACGATGAACGGTCGCACGGCGACCATCATCCGTCGGTCTTGCGACAACAAACTGTCGGCATGCGACCCAACGGTGTCGCAGGACGACGGGCACGATGAAGGACAAAGGGATATATAGAGCCAGAAGGATCTCCTAGATAGACAGTCATTACCTTTGTACTTCAGCGATCAATCTAATGTGACGACCCGACCAACAGGTCGCAAGATCGGGCCAGGGACAAGGGCAGGTCATGCACGCGGGGCAGCACACCCCTGGTTACATAAGCATCCCATTATGTCAGCCAGACGGAAGTGGATCGCTGGGATCACCACAGATCCAAGACGATCCAGGATCACCGAGGATCACCAAGGATCCAAGACGATCCAGGATCACGAGGAAACCAAGTGATCCAGGGAACCACGATGAAGGACAAAGGATATATAGCACCAGGAGGATCTCCTTGTAGACAGTCATTACCTTTGTACTTCAGCGATCAATCTAAGTATCATTCTCACCCTTCACTTGACCTAGTCACTCAATTGACCCGAGTGTGATATCTCGCAAGAGACACGAACGACAACCCCTCGAGAACACGACAAGCACGGAGTCAGTATTGCATAAGGTCGCTACCTACCTTATTCAGGACATAAACCCCACAGCGCCGATCAGACGGTTGACCCCGGAGATCGGATCGTGACATCTAAGTATCAGTTTCACCCACACTTGAACTAGTCACTCAA